TTTCTATTTTTTTTTTTTTTTTTTTTTGAGGGGAAGGCGGTGGTAGTTTTGCTAAATCAAACTGAGATACGGGGATCTTGCCATGCTCAAACAGTTAGACCAGTCTACATTACCACTCACTGATAACATTTTTAGTTAAGATCAATATAATTGTAGACTGTTCTTAAGCCTCTTTTTTTGTAAAAGCTTTGTTCATTCTGCCAAAACAATCTTTTTTAAGAAGGCCCTTTTACCACTTACAGCATGGTTCAGACTACCAAAACAAGTGAATGCGCTACCTCAGAACACAAAAAGGTACAAGGGCCATCAGCTGGGTGACAGGATGCATTTTGGTAGAGGTTAATAGCAGAGCTAGTCTGACAGTTGTGGAAAAACATGCTTTAGAGATAAGCCAAAAAACTCCTGCTGAAATAATTGAAACAGTTGCTCTGCCAAAAAAACCAATTCATACTTGGAGGGGAAAAATGCTCAGCAGAAAACATCTGTAGTCCCTCACATGAATATGCAGCTCCCAGATGCCCCCAGGAACATAGGTAAGGCTGCTGGGGCCAGCACAGTTGCTGGTCCCAGCCTCCCCCATGCAGGGTAACCTGCCACAGGCCAAAGCATGCATGGCACACGGGCATTCCCCAGGGATAAGTAGCAGCAGCACAAAGTGGACTGCTACTACTTGTCCCTTGGGAAACATGTCTGCGCTTATCTGGATGCACCCTTTTGGTCCTTTTCTTGGTTCTTTGATTCTTGTGAGGTTTTGTAAGCATAATATAAGTACAAAATCATCATCTATAGTTACTGACTCATCCTTTGGGACAAATCTTTTTTTCCTGGAATTGAACCTGAAAACATGGGTGTGACTTGTAATCAAGACAATATAATAGCTGAGATAGAGAAGACAGGGATTTAAGATCTGTAAGTTGGGAAAGCAACTGGTTAAAGCAGAGATGACAGTTCTGCTGGAGGGTGGTTACCAGCAGTTTGTCAATAACTGGTTTGGGGACAGTTCCTAAATTTCTCTCTTGATGACTGACAGAAGGTAGGAATATATTTAAAAATTTGTCAAAGACAAAAGTTGGGTTTCATTGTTCATAAAGAAGAGGATGAGAATTTCTTATAGTTCAGCCCACAAGGTCATCTAACTAGAATGGCATGACATGTATTTAAGTGGAAGTTCTTGCTTTAAGGAACTAATAAAGAGCATGCTCAACAGTTGGAAACAACGGAGGTGGAAAAGTACCTGGGTGCATGAGTTAATCACAGAAACAAACATGAGCTACCACTGGGACTTGGCTAGGAAAAAGCAAATGCAACTTGAGGAGCATCAGGTAAGGTATTTCCAGTAGGTAGGGTGTGGTAATGTAGTTTTACAAGGGACTAGTGAGAACTCATAAGAAAAAAAAAACACAATACATGTAGGGAGGGAAATAAGAGCCCTAACGTATTTAAGATGCACCTCACTAAATACGTTAACAACATTATGTGATGATGAGTGCTGTGGTTTCCTGCAATAACAAGGGACTGAATTTTAGGATGCAGGATGTTCCTTGTAATCCTGTCACTAAATGCTCATTGGCACATGACAGCACTCAGTGGAGAAGAGAGGATCTTAGTCACTTTCTAAAGAAGAAACAAGTCTAACCAGATAATTTAGATCAAATTAAGACACCCCCTACCTCTCAAACATCAAATGCCGGTGTGTTGCAACAAGGCTGGATATTCTTGTAGGGCAGGCAGGACCAAAGAGGTTTGCAACTGTAAATCCATCTCAAGAAAAAAAAGCAAGTGACAAATGCTTACATTTTTGTGTTTGGGGTTTTTTTTTTTTTTTTAAATCGCTTCTACCCAAGGAGTTATTTTAGTATAGCCCCAAAGAAGCTGCATGATAGATTAAAGAAACATTTATTAGACTTGCAGTAACTAACTAAAACAGTCTATTTACATACACCAGGATTGTTCTACTCTTCTCACAGTCTTAAGAGAAGACTAAATTTAAACTGAATAGAAACACTGACAAACACAGTGAAAAGTGAAATTTCAGTCATTTTAACCTCTTTGTTGCCAGTTTAAAACCTGTTTAGGTCAGTGCTGACAGAGATGCTTGCTATGCTCAGCAGATGGCATCTGTTTGACTTGAAAATACACATTAATCCATACTCTTAACTAAAATCCTTGTATAACAGTGCTCTTCCACTCAACATTAAACACAGACATTCCAGACAAATTTAGAGCCAGAAACATGGACCAAACACACCCAGGAAGTTTAGTATTAAATAAATAGATAGATAAATAAATAAAAGAATTCAAATGTTACAGCAAATTCTTGCCTATGCCTGTGCCCTTTGATAGCTGTTTTGTTGCCAGTGCTAATGGAATTAATTGTCCAGTTGCTAGCAAACAGGTGTCTGTCAACTATCACAACTGGTTGCCCTGTTGGCAGTCTCAGCAGAAAGGCTAAAGAATAGATGCCATGGAAACTGAATTCATAGTTGCATGAAGTGGAAACTAGCACAAGAATTGCTTGTGCTCTGCTCATTTGGGAGTGAAAGCTCAATCTTGCCCATTCAATAGGCTCTCACTTTACTTATCAAAATAGAAGGCAAGCTGAAGAAGCCTCTCTACTGCCTCATGAATTGAAGGTCTGGCACTGAAAAGGGCTAGAGGATTGCCAAAGTTATGTTTTTTAGCCAATGTAATAAGCAGCTGCCTGGCCCTAGCTAGAATCTTCTAGACCCTTTTGAAATTCTTGATAGACCATCTCCCCAAAATACACACATGGAAATATCTATTTTTAGGTTAGTAGGCACTAATATCAGAAAAATGTCCTAATCTGTCTGGTAGGTCATTTGTGGGGGGTGGCGGTGAGGGTGGAGGTGGAAGAGCAGGGAGTAAGGACAATTGGATTCCACCCCCACAGCTGCTGGATTTTTTTTGTAATTCCTACTGAAAACATTTTAAATTAACAAGTCTGTGACTACAAGCTTTATCACTGATTGCAGCTTAAAAATGTATCATCTTAAAAGTTAAGAATATTTATAGCAGTATCTCAAGAGTGATGAACCACTTTTCTATGCCATCTACCAAATTACATGCATCACTGCCTAGTTCACTAGTTCTCTCTAGTTACTTCAGTGCATTACAGTTACAAAAAGGTACATGGAAAGAGACAGCAAAACCAAGGAGAGAGGGGGAGAGTGGGG